GGTTACTTTAGTTTGAATCATACAAATTTGCCTTGTAAGTCTATCTTCTGTAACATGGCTAATTATTAAGTAGGGATTTGGTGCAGCTTTCAACTGAGCATCAGGAATATTAAATATATATTTAGCCTATCAAATTAAAATAATACACAGCCTACATAAAGAATGAATATAACCACATTCAGTAAAATCAATTAAAAATAAAATAAAATCTTATTGAGTGTACAAATTCCCCTTTCAAATAACCTGCGGGTTAACAGCAATGACATAGACCTACATTTTCGTGCAGTCTTGCAATACATTGCTCTTCTAAGTTCAAAAACTTGTAGAAAACGTTCATTTACAATGCATTAGTCAAGAGTAAGTCTATGGACAATGTGGTGCCATCCCGAGTTTACAATTTCCGATACTTGATGAATGCAGCACAAACACCAACATTCCCAGTGCCACAGCGGAGCCCAGAGAGTTGGAATGAGATTCAGCGAAACGCACGACTGCGTTGTACCTGGGTAAAGGACCCGAGGACGCTGACAACAGCTAATAAAGTCAACGGCCTGGCAAGGAGAGAAAAGACTACAGTCTCTGTTAACTGGAGAAAAGAAAAGAATACAATTTAAAGTGAGTTTATAAGAACAACCGAGACGAATTAATAAGTGGACACGCGACGTAAGTGGTACCGTGGCAGATGTGAGATGACAGCAATAAAGGAGGATTAAACTGCTGGGATGTTTAGAAAACGATGAAAAAGACATCCACACAATAAGGACCGACTTCAGAGCAAAAAAAAAGAATGCCTTGATTTCTCACCGTGGGAGAGCGGGGGCACTCATGTTTCTGTGGAAGAGAAAGAAAGTTTGCTGCGCTCCACTATAACTCTACTTTCTTTGAGGTATTGTTGCTGTGACTGTTTCTTATTTCAGTTGCAGGGCCCACCTGTTCTGGTGCTGGCTCGTAACTGTTCACAATGTCCAAACCTGTGCTGAAGAAGAACCACTGGGCCGCCAGAGTGAACGAGTGCTCCGTCTCTAAAGATGCCCGTGGAGAGTTGAATGTGCCATTGCGCGGCGGCGCGGAGAACGGAGAGTTCGCCTACATCGGGCCGGTCAACGACGATGTCGTGCTTTACAAAAGTGGAACATTAAACGAAGGGGAGCTTCTTCTGGAGGTGGAGAACCTCTCGATTTCGGGATTACCCTTGTACGACGTGCAGACAGTCATAAAGAACTGCAAAGGTCCCGTCAGGTTGAAAACTGTCAGGCAAGGTAAGGACTGGAAGAGGCAGCGCCTCACGCAAAACTCATTCAGACTTCTGCCCTTTAATGTTTGCTGGTGTTCTGAGAAATGACAGGAATCGAAACGTTCGTCCAAGTCTTTTATTAAAACAGAGGGACACACTCTTTAATTCGGCACAGGCCTACCTAAAACATAGGCTACAATTACGCACAGAAGTTTATCAAATTAGGCCCCAAACTGAGAATTCCTTGCAGGGACGAGTTCAGTGGGGAGTCTTGAATATGGCAAAGGGGGTAAATAAGTTATGCCAGATGAAATGTAGGTTCATCAAGCTAAAACACGTATAATTGACAGACTTCCGAATAACGTTTGGTGTGTGCTTGTTTTTTCATGTTAGGCCACCTGTCGTGTCCAGGGAGATGGAAATAACAGGCTCACACACTGTTTGTTCAGCTTTCCTTTTGTTCTAACTGTGAAATGGCTCGTTTGTTAAACATTCCCGTGTAATGTGCCAATTGATGGCATTTTAGTATAGCAATAATCTTTTACTGAAAATAATACAACCACTTAAAATAGCTTAATCACAAATGTTGCTCATTCATTCATGACTTTAAATAAAATCAGATTTTGACTCCATGTGCCAGGCATTTAGGATTACCAGGTGACAAAACAAACAAAAAAAA